TAAAACAGCAGATTAATGTGAGCTCTGAGTTTGAACTTATGACATAAGATTGTTGAAATCTGGATTTATATCACTGACACAGAGTCTCTAAGTATTTTCTATATTGTCTTCCGTTAGCCTCGTGCGTATTTTAGTTCTATTTATTTTCATGAGAATGCAGAGGCATGGCGGAATACAAACCTCCGTTCGCCTAGTTAGACACCACATTCCGATTCCCTCCTTGGACGGATTAAAACTGGTCGCGGGCGGCCGGTTGCGCCCACCCGTGGTTTAGGACTTTCATACTTGGCACTGGGCCTCTTCGTTCTGATACGAAGTGAACAGTGGGTGATTCGCAGTAAGCAAAACCCAAAGAAACCGCTTTTTATCAATAAAATCGACTAAATTCCTCATTTTCACAACTGGATTAATGCGAATCATGTTGTGTTTGTTGTTGCGCTTCGTTTTACTGCTGACTGTCGGTCAGTTAACTTTGACGTTGTTATGCAAAAGAATCGAAATGTGTGTTGTTTTTACCTTAGCAGCGCTGGCAGAAGCGGCATGAGCAGCAACAGGAACAAGCGAAAAGCTGGCGCAGAGGAGCAGCAGCTCGATGATACAAGGAAGCGTAGTCGACGATTCAGGAACGTCAAGGAAGAACTCGATGACGTAACATTTTATTATTTTCACCCACCCATACCTCTACATGTCCAGCTCTCAAGTTGACTCCAAACGTGAACTATCTTTGCACTTTCAGAACTGTCCAAATATTCAGTTTTTTAATCGGATTTCGCCCGATTTTTTCGCTTTTTTATCAGTTTTTGCAAATTCGCTAGGGTTACCTTTTGAGTCCTTGTTGTTTGTACTTTCATTAATTTAGTTATTTGTCCCATTATGGACTGTCACTGCATTTAAGCTTCTTGATATTCTGAGGCCCCTTGTTGTTCTTTTAGAAAAATCGCTTTTTTGCTAGTTTGTAGCCCGCCTTTTCCGCCTTCTGCAGACCTGATAATCTTCCTGTAGTTGTTCTGAACGAAATTGCTTTATCGGATGCTCTCGTGATGATGCTGCTGATCTCAGCATTCGTTTCCATGCTGCTACTGTCTCTGACTTGTCTGCTGTTTTTTTCCCCTGCATTCTGCGTCCAGATCATATTATGGGTATTTGTTTGAGAAAAATATGCTTTACGCAGTATTTTTGCTTTTCCAGTTGCGCCAGTTCGCTGAACTGATGGATATATTACGAAGTCACAGGACAGAGGATAATCGTTTTCTTTGCGAAAGTTTCATCCGTAACCCATCGCGCAGGTACAAATTTTTCATGTGGACTTTGTAATTTTTCGGAAAAACCCATCATCTGTTTTACGGGTCAATGATTTTTATGCGTTTTGTGCTGTGTAACAGCAGTACAAAACGCATATTGTCACGGGGTTGTCCGTGTGTGTGTATGTGCGCGTGTTTGTCCGCAGCAACTTGTCCGCAACTTTCAAATCAGGGACCACGAAAGCCAGGAAGCTGAAAATTGAGGGAAACGTGACCCCGCAAATTTAAATTCAGCTTCCCAGTAGCTGGGGGTTACACGTATGGCTCCGTGAAAGTTTTTTACGGGTAGATTAATATCTCGGGAACCACGGAGTCTAAGAGGCTGAAATTTTAGGGCAGTGATCCCCTGCCCACACTCAACTTTGCTTGTTCAAATTCAGCGTACCCGCGCTCTTGAGTATCACCTACGGCTTCGTGAAAATTTTGGCGGGTAAACTACTAACTCGGGATAAAGGTATTCACCCTCTAAGGTTTCGAATTCAGCTTTCATGCGCTGGTGCGTGGAATTTTTAAGTGTTTTCCAATGTTTGAACTATTTTTGCATAGACTGAAGTACAAAGCAGTGAAAATCATTGACAGGCAGTCGTTCGATGGGCTGAATTGTAAAAAACGCATGAACGCACCGGCTGGTCTGGTGGGCGTTGCTATTTATTTATTTTTGCTGCAAGGATGTCTTCTGCCGACTAGCATGCTGGTGTTCTCTTTACTGTTTTCTTCCTTTTTTATTTTGCAAACTCGTGTGACCCCTCAGCTTATTCATTAACGAACAGAAAATGTTCAGGCTAGTGGTACAAAAAATTTTAGTGACAGTGGATTGTGCGTATGGAAGATGTGCAGAGGTTTAATAGTAGAAACTGTTGGGTTTTCGTTCGCAAATATAACATTCCTAAATGATGTATTATAGGACAGATCCAAAGTATTTCGAAGTGATTGCGCATCCCATCGATTTAACGAGAATTCAGCAGAAAATCAAAACTGAAGAATATGTGAATGTCGAAGATCTAACCTCAGATATCAGCCTGTTAGTCAGTAATCACAAGGCTTACTACGAGGTAAGTACTCTTGCTGTTGGTATCGCTTTCCAGATAGCTTATTATAGGCTAGACGTTGTCAGTGATGCTGTTGGTGAAACTCTGTAACTGGGCTACATCTTTCAAATTTTGAAACAGGAGGGGGAAGGAGTAAGGCTTTGAAGTGTTCCTTAGGCCTAAAGTTCTGAGTTGTTTTCATAAGAAGTGGGAAGCGGGGGGCACTATACTTATTAGTGCTTTGTAATTATGAATTATTTTCTTTTTAGGAGGGCAGTCAGCAGTATAAGGATGCTTGCGATTTGTGGGATTTGTTTGAAACACATAAGAAACTGATGTTCCCAGATGCGTTGCCGGCA